AACTTGGTTTGTAATAACTAAGTTTATGAAGACGCTGGAGATTGCATTGAGGTTAAGTTAATATTTTTATAAAACTTGTACAGCTGAAAGACTAAGGAAGAGAAAAAAAGGTACTTATGTGTGAGAATTTCCATCGATGATATGTTTAATGACTTAACTATATTCGATGTGAAATCTCACGCGAGAACGATACATTTTAAAAGATGGATTCTAATTAAAATTTAAGAAGCAATCTGTCTTGCGCAATGCATAAAGAGACAGGTGTGATTCTCAAAGTCTATTACATGTATTGATTCCATTCCGAAAATTGAGTGAGAGTGGTTTGAACTATTGAAAGCTCAAGATGTAAACTTTATGCTAATGCAACTGAGCAAACCGAGGAGGGAAATTAATTTTCCCAAGTATAAATGAAAATCGCGAATGTGCTAACATTTGTACGTGACTTTTCACTCTGTGAAAAGAAACAAGAAAAGAAAACTGCTTTCAATTTTACAATTTCAAAGGAAATACCTGTGTGATAAATATATAATTCCATGAAAATAAGGAAGTTTGTACCGTTCATTTCTAGTTTACTTTAGGAGGAATAAAATATCTTTCCACTCTTGCGATTTTTTGCAACTAAGGATTCTTAAAGAGTAAACTCTTACTCGATGTTTTGTCAAAATTCACCGAAAATAAAAGAACCCCGCTTTTTCTTTGGTAGTTTAGTTTTCATGCAGAGCTAAAAATGTTCCCTGATTCATTATGATAAAGTCACTCGCAGATTTGTTATTAAATGTTATTGTTTCAAATTGTCAAATGTTGTCAATTCTAAAAGCTTACGTGCCTGCAGTTAAATGACTCTTAAACAACAGAGGAACACAAACGGCTCAACTGTGTGATCTTACCGTTTAGAAAGCTTGCCTGAGGTTGCTGTAAAAAGAGGTTATTTGTGTTTACTTATGTTCTCAGCGATTCAACTGAAATATTCTGTGATATTTCGGTTTTAGATTGCTTACACATGACGCTGGTAAATTTAGTTGGGGTCGAACTACTTCGAATACGTCGGATTTTGATGAGGAATTTACATGAAACTTTATATGACAAAACTATGAAGCCAGAATAATCAAACTCATAATCTTGCCCTCAATACTGCACAATTTGATCTATTTTGAAATATGAAGAAATGTTTGCATTTTCTTGATTATTTTGTTATTTCTCATTTGATTTTGATCGGATCGTTCAATCATCTCACAAACTCGAAGAATTGCTTTTCGTTGTTGCTTTTTTTTTTTTAAGCTATAACAATGCTAAATTCACTCCAAACAGAATCCCAATAAAATAGCTGGCTGTCCTTTAATTTAGCCTACAGGAAACACACTTTCTTCAAATGTATTTTAGATGATGTTAGGTACGTGGGCAGCTTAGTGTAAGATCTACCTGAGGGAGGGTTTGGCAAATGATATATTTTGCAACAGATTTGCATCCTATCTGAGATTTCAGGAGCATCAATACAACTTTATGACAGTTTCGGCACTTTTATTCAGCATTATTTATTAAGTTTCCGTGTATGCTGTTTTGTCTTGTCTAAGAATTCCATCTTGAGAGACTTCAGCACTTGCCTGTTTGCTTTCTGCACTCGAGAGAATATTAATGACTGGCAAACGTATATATTTAAATCCTCGTTCGAGAKTTTTCGGATTTACCATGAAGCTGAAGTTGTTACCATTTGGATTTGGGTTTAACATCAATTCAGACTTTTGACTAATTGCAAAACTAAATGTAAAAAACGCGATTGGAAGTATGTTAGAACATAGGAAAGCAAGTCACTGGTTGCTTCAGAGATCTGATCTCAATAATCTCTGTGATAGGATGCCGAACAAACAGGTGGCTAATTACACAGCCAACAGTTGTGTAATGATAAGATAGTTAAGACAGATTCTACAATTGGCTCTGACTTTGTTATCACCATAAAATATCCTTCAGTTTTGTTTAGTTTGAAGCTTGAATTGAATAAGATAACCTCGGAATTTCCCTGAGGCTAAGGCTGAATACGTCGCGGTTTTGAATGCCTGAAAAGTGTCTAAAGTACACAAGAAAGTATTTCAAATTCAAAAAATAGAAGACCCACTGCCTGTCCTTTGGACAAGAAATTACAACAACTGATGCACCTGTGTTGCTTATTTTAACCCTCACCCAAATCAACCGGTGAAGATTTTTTTCAGCCTGTGACATTTGGAATTTGGAAGTGAGGTCAACTAGTTTCCTGAAACAAGAGGCACTATAGAACCTTAAGCCAATAGGCTGCCAAACTGAGGTGAAGATTAGATTTTAAAATATTTCGTAATGTGNAAGAGGAGAGAGAGCTGTTACGAAGTGAGCTATGATACTGGTGGGTGATCTGTTTATGTACCGTTCGTACCTCTTCAATGGAGTCTTATTTACTCGTCATCGCAACAATAGCTGCGCACACGTTCGTATAACAATACTCATACACGATGCCACATGCCCTCTAAAATAATTTCGTGTACTTGAAAATGACTACAGTAAAAGACTTACTTGCTCATCAATTTACTTGTAAGCTTGCTTTCCAATCAAAGTTACCCTTCCTTCGTAACAGCGCTGTAGCCATTCGTTTATTTCAATTGTCTCACTTCCGAGCCATAGCGTCTGCGGGAATTTTATACCAAGTTTATGTCAAAACTTGCGAAGAATTCGCGTTAACCGTTTTATCTTGTAATCGAATACGAAGTTATCTTCTTTGATTCAAGTGTCTTTCTTTTGCAAATTTCTCTCCATGATGATCCCCGACACGAGAAGTTTTGCAGGTTTTGCATATTAGTTTGAATCGTTAAATCACTGTTATTGTTCCGTTCTATTTCGAAATGGATGACGACCATAAGCCGCCATTGACTGTACTGTTCGAGATTATTAAACCTGAAATGAAGACCGACAAACTTAATTACTTATTCCTTGTTCGTTATGATTTATTTGGCCGGTATATGGAGGGGTGACTAGCAAGAATACATTTTAAATTCATGCATTGACCTGTATTGTACCCCATTTCTTTCAATTTCCTTCATTGCGTCAGAATACGTGTAACCATACTGGATGTGCACGAGTAACCGTTTTAACCGCCTAGAATAGTATCGAGGTGTTCTTTAAATATCCATGTTATTTCAGTTTGTTTTAAAAATTTTATGTTGGTTCTGCTTGTGCGGCAAGAGTGATTAGTCAAAACAGATAGCCTCAAACAAGTAATTAAGCGGCCATAATAACTTTGAAATATATTAAAATACCGAGGTTATTTCATTTACGTAATCCTCGTCGACCATCGTGCCCAACTATTAAACATGCAACGTTTGGCCTTACATGGCTCACTTGTCGCAATTGACATCAAAAGATGTTGGGCTCTGCGGTAAATATAATCCATATTTGTCATGTGAAAGGTTAAGACATCTTTAAATCAGATAAGCGTTCATTAATAAGGTGCTTTTATCGCTCCATTATAAAAGTGTGAAGAGACAGGCAATTAGCGGTGTTTTGCGTTTTGGTTGGGCACATTTATAACAGCAAATACCGACTGAATATTTGCATTCGAGTCACAATATGGTTAGGTGGACTTCCAGCTGAGAAAATGACCGTTTGGCAACGGGTGAAGACACTTAAATAAATAGACTCATTATTCATGCGATCAGCAATGGCGATAGAAACAA